AAGTAATATGTTTCGGAGAAACATTTTTTAACTACAGCAATAGATTATAGCGACAAATTATAGTGATTCACTCCGTATGCATACTTGTGGAAAGAAAGATATTTTGCTCTCAAAATAGCTTTGCAATCGCAAAAATAATCGGTGCCACTGTTACAAGGTCATCATTATAAAAGGTACTGTTGTAAGAAAAACAGAGAAACTAATCAAATTTAAGAATAAGACTAATGTATGATAATTCAGTTAAACGCTTAATAAACATTTCCGTACGATACGGCCATGTAGACTTTGTAAATAAGTAATAAAAAAAAAAAAAAAAGAAAAAGTAAATAAATAAAAAATGTTTACAAACGCAACCTGACACTTGCGGAGTGTGTTAATATTTATTATCGTTATTGCCTCAATTTTTTTTTTTTTTATACCTGGCGCCATGTCTATGTTTTTATATGAATCGATACGATATGGCAGGAGAGATCTGTGGAGACAAATTAAAAACAAACAAAAAAAATCACAAGCGTGTGAATGACGTGTGTACACTCGATGGCGGATGAGACGTGGCTGTACAATGTGTGCAATACATCTTTTTCAACTTTGGCAAAACCGGAGCTCACATTTTTTTTCAGTTTCAACTGCACGCTCGCATCTATGAATAAAACTTGTCTAGCAAATTAATGGATTACGCAAATGAGCGTTCAGTGCTTTGATATGCGTCGTATTGTAATTTTCAACGCCAAACAACGTTTTTTAACTTCTGTGTTCGTTGCGATTGGCAGGTATAGTTGAAATCTGCTGATATAAACAATGTTACCAACATGTGCAATACTCGAAAGAGTGCTGGGTTTAATAAAAGTAAGATGGGGAGGTAACGAGAGCAACTCAACTGCGTTTGTATTTTGCGTTATATAACATTGTGAAATAATATTTTTTCATTTTGTAGTTCAGAACGGCTTTTTTAAAAATATATCCAAAGAAAGGTATCGAAAGTCTATGGTTAAGATGACTGAAAACATTTATTTTGCAGCTTTTTTTTTATCTGAAGTGTGTATCAAATGTAACGTTTTCTACGTGGCTTGTAATATTCACCGTACAATATCAGATTATCCGTCCAATACGTTTTGAGGCAATGAAAGTATACATTGTGTATCAACAAGGTCGTGAATGTTTTTAAGGTTGTCCCTAGAGTATAATCCAGTACGTGAAAATACCGTAATTTAAATTTATTCATTTGTATCATATCCAAACTAAAGGCAAGAATATACTTTAGCAATAAAATTTTTTAAATACGGTGGCTTCGTTTTTTTGATACTCATAAAAGTACTGTGATATTTCTTTTCAAAAATTCTGTGTAAAAGCAAAGGTGTGTGACTCATATAGCTATGTCTTCATTCGAGTTTTTCTTGATGAATTTTTTTATTTATAGTATATTAAGTTACGTAAGTTTATAAAGAAGTTGTGGCAAATGTAACGTATCAGAGGTTTTACTTTGAAACACCTTTAAAATTACGTAAGACAATAATTTCAAGTTCATATTTGTGTACTGTGACTTTCTGTTGAAAACATTATTTTGAACATACAATAATTTGAGAAGATCTTGGAAACCACTTGCGTGTTTTTATTGAATTTTCAGAAAACTGTCAACGCTTTGCAGAGAAAGAGCCGATAAAATTCTAGTTAAGATAGCACGCGATCGGTTACAGATAGCTATAAACACATAATACGTGTTGAGCAACGTAATGATGAGCGCGTAGCTGTTGATTGAATTGGGGATCAAGACAAACATAGTTTGCTATGCCTAGAATTTAAAAATGTTTAACTTTCATCTTTCTTTACACTCAATGTAACTATTTTTATCTTTTTTCTTTTCGTTTCTTGAAATTTTGGAATTCGTAAGTTGACAGTATTAACAGAAGCGGTTTCATCTTCGATGGATTACCGCGTAAGAATTTTATTTTTAACATTTAGAATGGGACGATATTTTTAGAAATATGATACTCGTTAAGTTTAAATGTATTCTATGTTATTGACAAATTTTAGAATGTAGTATTGAATCATACTAAAACGTTTACAAAAAAAAAGTAATATTGATACATGCCGATTTCTAAAATCATCGAGACGTAATTTTAATAGAAAAAAACAAGTTAACATGCATGAGGAAATCAACAAAAAATATCCCGTTTTTGTTCCCAATTTTTAAATAAAAAATTTTTTCAAGGCACAACCTGGAGATGGAACTGCTTTTGCTCATAATGTCGTGTACTACAAGGGAAAAATTATGAACACTGATTTCAGTGGTGATGGTGACATCTTTTTTTCATGATATGTTAAAATCATATTCCTGTAGATGATATGTATAAATATAATAATTGCATGTAAATCACGAAAAAACGGTGTCAACTCCACTGAATCCCGCGCTAATACTTCATGACATTGTGAGTAAAAAAAGTCCGGTGTCAAGGGTGTCGAAAAAAAATTTTTACTAAAAAATTGGGCAAAAAAACGGGTTGTTTTTTGAGGACTAACTCGTATGTTTGAATAATCAAATTATTTGAATATAAATATATGCGTTGATTGTATTACATGTAGTCTCTTATCAGTAAACTAAAATTTTCAGCCAAAATTTATAAAAATGTACCACTAAAACCTAATTTTCTAAATTCTTAAATCATATTGTCAACAGCAGAAGTAGTTCACGAGTGTTTACACTTTTTATTCACACTCATACACACTGATTTCAATTACAATTAATGAGTACACGCAACTTTTTAAGAATTTGAAGAGATCACTGTAGGTCTAAGTATAACCATTCGTGTAGAAAAGACATCACGTATTCGGGAGTATGTGCGAAAAAAATTAACGAGTTTCGTGGTAATTCGACAAATTTTTCAATTCACGCAAACACATGCCCTCACTTTTATCCATCTCTGCGTGCCTGTTTTTTCTCGCTCTTCTCGAAAGCCAGATAAAAAATTTACACCCACTTGCATGTACGCTTATCTCTCGTTGTAGTGCTCCTACAGCTGTGCCGCACAATGTTTGCAGATATGCGAAAATAGTACTCTGCGGGAGAAAAATTAGCGAATAGAGAACAGTCGTGATCACCACTTGACGACACATGCAGTGTTTTGAAATAGTACAGTTTCAGTAAAAAATCAGGCTTCAACTAAATTTTCGCAGTCACGGAAATGTTTATGGGCTGATGTCACTCCGTAAAAATTGGTGATTCCGCGATTTTTGGAAAAATTCGTTTCGTTGAATTACCAATGGAGTGACGTAGGAAAAATTTCAAATAATATGACACCAGAATTGTTAAAACAGAAGAATACAATCAAAATACGTTTATAGGATCAATTTCTGAGTTTTCGGGTCACCGAGTGCTAATTAATAGTGTGATTTCATCAAAATGTAATAGCAACACCCTAAAATTGATATGCAACATCGATGTAAAGCAAAAACTTTGAATTTTGCATTCCTATATAGGAGCTATGGGAGTGTAGCAAATTTTTCCCACGTCCTACAGTTGCCATTGCAAAAATGTGAATTTAAAAAAAAAATCACATCACACATTCTTGCGAACACTAATTTGAGCTCAAAAACATTTGTGTTTAAGCAGCGAAATGCAGTTGAGACCTGATTTTTTTTTTTTTACTAAAATTGTACTATTTCAAAACATTTAGCGACGTAGACGCTACAAGGATGTTACAATTGAAAAACTCCAAACCCGAGCTATAATTAAGTTAGACCGGCATTACTGCTCATACCTGTCAAATTATCCAATTTGCTTTGGAGCAGTGTGTTTTTAACGCGTACCTGTACCTAATGATATCTCAATTAGCCACGATTTCTCCTGATGTTTTATGCATTTTTTTTCTTGAAAAAATGAAATTTCACGCGATAGTCGATGATAGTTTCGAAACTGATATTCAGCCAGAAACCTGAGATCAGTCGTGTGTCAGCTTATAAAATTTTAAATGCTACGAAAGTTGAGTGTCGCGACTTAGGAGTGAACGAGCCAGCGGTTGCGGCGATTGAGTTATTTGTTTCTGCGAATGCATAATGAGGATTTAAAAATAGCTCGTCGCATTATAAATGGAAAGAGAGAGAGAGAGAGAGAGAGAGAGAGAAAAATCTTGGATACACTATTTTGCAATATATTTTTCGCCTTCGCCATCGTCGTCAGCGCGTTGCTTCTTCTTTTTGCAACTTTACTTAGGCGTTTGCAAGAATATTGTAAACAACTTTGAGTAGTATAAAATAATTGCGTTGCTCAATATGTATAATACACAAATGGTATACAGATAACTTGTTTACGATATTTTTGCATAAATGTTGGCGTCTATTTATAGTTCAATTAAAGACGATTCGAAAATACGAAAAAAACTTGAATATAACTTTGTCTTTACGATTATTATACATGCAAAAACACTAAAGACACCGCGAGAGACGATTCAAGTATGGTGTACATGAATCAGTTGTATAAGAAAAGAAAAAAAAAAAAAAATTATTTCAGAGCAGGTAGCCATCAACTTGTACTGTAAGTTATTGGCTAGTCAATTAGCATGTGTCCATAAAAATGTAAGAATCATTGGACTACACAGAAGCCGTGAAATTTTCAACTTGATCATCGACACAATGATAGCAAAGTCTTTTCAATCAGCGTAAAAGTACAATATTATTTAAGAAAATCCTTGAGATACGACAAAACGGAGGATCGTCGAACTATGCGGACTAAAATAGGCGACCAAAGGGAGAAGGAAAACTCAAAGGCTCCAAGGAAGTCTGGCGCATGCACGTACGCGAAGCACGAAGAAAAGGGGGAGTCGTCGTCCTAGAGGAAAAATAAAGCACATCGTTCGCGCGCAGCGGATTTCCTTCCGGCGACTATTAAGAGCCGACCGGTGTGGGGATGTGTACATATAAAAAAAGTTGTTGTTGTTTTTTTTTTTTTTTTTTTTTTTTTTTTTTTTTTTTTTTTTTTTTTTTTTTTTTTTTTCTTCGTTTCTTACCTGTGACTCGTGGCCGTGTCCAGCATGGTAAAAACAACACGAGCGGCGATCCACCTCGCATGCGGCGGCTCCCGGCAACCCTTGCCGATCTCACTTTGCGGATGCACAGCGTCCGCTCTCCGTCACTTCGACATCCACTCTGTATTATAATATCACCACCATTGCATACATATATGTATTATTTTTCAAAACAAACAATCAACACCACCAAATATATATATATATATATATTTATTTAATCACACTCGTATTTCCTCACTGATTCAACAGCCGGCCACTTTATCTTCGACGCATACCGATCTCTTGCCGATCGGGCTACCGATACACTTGCCGAACCCGCAGTTCGTTATACTTCCTCTCAAAGATCTTCTTCCTCAGTCGAGCTTCGAACACACAGGCACTGTACAATGAAGTAGAACATGCATCAGATACGAGACGCAGCGGCAGATGAGAGTCGGGGCTGCACAATAGTGCAAACGCACACCTATATAGGCTAGGCTCTGCTTCACGCCACGAGACGAAATAAAAGAAACAAGGGACTCGGAGCTCGCGAGGCTCGGTATAACACCGTGTACCTATATATACCAACCGTGAGCATGTGCACGCGCTATTTCCTTCCTTCTTCTTTCTTTCTCTCTGCGTCTTTTTCCTTCCCTTGTACGTATGTGTCTGTACGTAGGTACGATAAGGAACACCACCACATCCACGATACTCGTGAGTATATACGTTGAGTTGCGCCACTCCGCTCCTCTCGGCTGCTGTGTCAAAGTTCTGTCATAAATACGTCCACACAGATTTTTCCGAGCTTCTGCGTGAAAGGGAAAAAAATCGCCGTGCAGTCAAATGAATTATCAGTCGCGGAGAGAGAGAGAGAGAGAGAGAGAAAGCCAGCTGCAGCGGGTACTAGATAGAGGAATCTCTCTTTATTCGCTTTCTTGTCTCTGCAGCTTGTACTTACACTCGTAAGCTGCGTTTCGCACTTGTGTACGTGTATGTGCTTGCGCGCTCGCGGTATACCGATCGTGCGCGAAATTTTCAAGCCGGACAACTCCCGGTCAGCTTCACTTTGCTCCGTACAAATAAAGCGATAGTCTCTTTTTCCCCTTCAAATCTTCTCCTCTAGGTTAGGACAGGCTTATCTGCGTCGAGCTGTATATCGTTGCGCCGATCTTTTCTCCCTTTTTCGCTCGCTCGCTCGTATATGCTTATTATCACTCGGCTCGGCTGCTGTTTTGCGGAAGAGACGGAGATAGCCTCGGCATCCAAGTGCACGTACATTATATTATGCGCCTGTTACATTACTCCGCTCCCTCGTCGCTTCCATTACGCGTCGCACGATGCAAATAAAAGCTGCACGGTGCACAATAAATTAATATATATATATATATATGGATATAATATATCGATGTGTTTACACGAGATAGGAAAATCTAGCTCGCGCCAAATAAATCATGCGAATACGCGCGTGAGATGCGCCAAAGTGTGCGTATGTATATATATATTTATGTTGGTGGATCACGTGCTCGAGCGTTGACACATCGGTTTTATCGGCCCAAAAGTGAATGGATGGGGGAAAAAAAAGAAACACCACAAAAAAAAAAAACAAAAAAAAACAAAAATCGAAAGAACCTCTCGCGTGTGCCGCACGCGCGCTCCGAAACCGTGTCTTTATACTGTTGTATATATAGCGAAGAGCGAGCACTACGTACAGCAGATCAGAGAGTAGGTACACTGTTGCGCTCCGAGTACGACGTTTACGTATGCATGTACACATATAAAATACAGAGGTACAATCTATATACACTTGGTTTAGCAATGTACACTTTTGCCACTCGACGCGCAAACACTGTGTATGACGCGGGGACGACCGCACGTTAGCAGAGGCCGCGTCGTACTACTGATCTCCGACTCCCTTGGAGAGTATCATATCGGAGCCAAGTAGTATGCCGGTTTTTCGCTCTCGTTCTTTTCCTCGGCCGCTCGCCCCGCGCTCTCTTAACGAGGCTTCATGTGCACGAGCAACGAAGACAGGGAGATCGCGAGAGAGAGAGAGAGAGAAGTCTAGGGAACGGTCGCTAAAGTGGCAGCACTGCGTTTGGTGTTGTATGCCTTGCTGATGTGGCGACTTTAGTGTGGGTTTTGTGTGTGTATGTGTGTGTTTGTGTGCAGTGTCAACAGCTGCAACCGCGAGATGATGGTGGTATACGCTGCCAAATATACACTCGTGTTGGTCAGGTCGCCGTTGCCTAGGCGCCACTGCCGGTTTCTCAAGATCGGTATCGGCTTTTTGGTTACCGATCGCCGTGAGAGTAAAGCTTTTTTGACGGTGGTATGACAAGATAAGCCGTTTGAGCTTTTCATTGTTATTTTGGCAATTGGTCATGTTTTTTTGACAAACTTTTCTTGAAACTTGATGTGGTTAGTGATAAAAAACCATTTTTAATTTGGATTACCACGTTCCAAAGAAAAAAAGAAAATTTTTCGTGGCACACAGTTGAACCAATTTTTTCCTCATTCTACATACCCTCAGAAATTAAAAAAAAAATTGTGTGCAAGCATTTAAGGGCTTGTGACACTGTTTTCCACCCCACTAAAGATTTAAAATACTGATTATCTAAAGTGAAAAAGCCAGATTAAACTGAAAAATGTCAAAAACTGATTGAATCGTACCAGGTTTAAAAAAAATCTTATTTTCCGGCATTCTGTAGACGTTTGGAAATATTTATCACCCCGAACCTATGCATAACTTCAGTGTATAAACAATGTAAGGTGAATTTATCCATCTAAAGCCTCCCCATGAATTGCAGTACCAAAAATTGGTGTGAAAACGTATTATTTCACCTCGAAAATCCTCTTTCGAGGGTTTTGGAGGTCACTGTTTACGAATCAGAAGTCTATTTGCAAGCAGGGGTAGTTTCAACCCCCCCAAAACCACCCCAAGTTGCAGTCAATAGTTGAAAAATCTATTATTTGACCATATCTCAAGGGGGTTTCAAGGTCGCTCATCACGATTTTGAAGTCCATTTGTGCGCAGGGGTAGTTTCAACGCTTAAAATCATTATTTTTTTCAGAAAATCACTACAAAGTTTATAATTTTGCCTCCCAAATCGTTTCTCATGGATTTTCGAGGTCACTGATCATAAATTTGAGATCTATTTGTGTGCAGGGGTAGTTTTAATGCTGTTCAACTCCTTAATTCAATATTAAAACAATATACAAGTAAGTCCCCTACGGTTTTCCAAGAGAAAATTTTCACGGTAAAATAGTAGGATTTTTAAGATTTTTCAGAAGTGGGGTGATTATAAGGGTTGAAACTACCCCTACGAAAAAATGGACTTCAAAATCGTGATGAGCGACCTTGAAACCCCCTTGAGATATGGTCAAATAATAGATTTTTCAACTATTGACTGCAACTTGGGGTGGTTTTGGGGGGGTTGAAACTACCCCTGCTTGCAAATAGACTTCTGATTCGTAAACAGTGACCTCCAAAACCCTCGAAAGAGGATTTTCGAGGTGAAATAATACGTTTTCACACCAATTTTTGGTACTGCAATTCATGGGGAGGCTTTAGATGGATAAATTCACCTTACATTGTTTATACACTGAAGTTATGCATAGGTTCGGGGTGATAAATATTTCCAAACGTCTACAGAATGCCGGAAAATAAGATTTTTTTTAAACCTGGTACGATTCAATCAGTTTTTGACATTTTTCAGTTTAATCTGGCTTTTTCACTTTAGATAATCAGTATTTTAAATCTTTAGTGGGGTGGAAAACAGTGTCACAAGCCCTTAAATGCTTGCACACAATTTTTTTTTTCATTTCTGAGGGTATGTAGAATGAGGAAAAAATTGGTTCAACTGAGTGCCACGAAAAATTTTCTTTTTTTCTTTGGAATGTATAAATCCAAATTAAAAATGGATTACCGCTGATACCGTTGTCCTAAGATCCCACAGCTTCGGCGATTGAACAAGTAAAGTAGTCATGAGCACTGTTATAATTATATGAGAGGCAAGCCTTACAACCAACGAGCAGCAGATATCATGCAACCCAACTATAGTTTATTTCAAGTAGGTGTAAATTATCAAATAATTGATGAGTTTCTAGTAGGTTTTGCATAATCCAATTTCCTCATGGTGATGGATTCGTTCTTTTTACTTATTTTATTTCTACCTTTCTACCACTTCATTCTTTTTCCCTTATTTTCAGTGTATTTCCTCAAGTATGCAAGTCTCTTGTGCGATATCCTATAGTGCAAAGTTTCTCTCAGTCGACTCGGTCCATCCTATTGGATATCATTTATGGGATGCAGCGATCGTCTCAAGCACACTTCAGCAAGTATAAGGTTTAACAAAAAGATTTCTTTCATTAATAATCACCTACCTCTCACCTTCAACAATGCCAATATTAGCTTCTTGAATGAAAAAAAGGGTGATTGCGTACCACACACTTTTTAACACGCTTTTATTAGCTTCACTTGTAACTAACTATGTATGTAAGAAAATCTTGGAATCTTAATTTGACCCACTTTCTGGTCTTCGATTAGGATGAAATTTTGCACACGCTCTGAGTTCTGATGACAATACATGACTAGCTAAGAAACGTCATTACAAATCCAATATGTCGGCCTCCCCAAGATAGCGGACTGGCTGTTTCACATCCACCTCCATGATATGGGTATTAAATGAAGGGGTTTGCTGAATGGGATACGAAAAAAATAATCACGTGACCTAAATCCAACATGGTGGCCGTCCCAAGGTGGCAGATTGGCTATTAGAATGCAATCCTATGATTTAGGTATAAAATGAAAGGGTTTGCTGATAATAATGCGGAATGACATTTTCTTACCAAATTATCATGTCATGGATATCAATCAATAAGCTTCGACGAGAGAAATACGAAGATTGGACTTTGAGTCTACGAAATCCCACCTAAGCCAAGGTAGGATACGCGCCGAGAGCTGAATGGTATGAGGCTGGTAAAAAATATCATGTCACTAGCGTCACCTAAGGGCACCAGGTGCAACCCTATTGTAATTAGCCTTGCCCCCCTACGTGGACCTCTGGGGGGGGGGGGTTGACCGTCTATAAGACTAAAAAGTGTAAAATAAGAATAATAGTTTAAAAAACTAAAAAATACGCTTTTAGCACGCACTAAAAATTACAAAATAATTCGGACATTTAGTTTGATGACTCAAGAGTTTTCCCTTCGCCAAATCTTCATTAGATCGCAGGTAAACATAAACAATTTCAGTTCGTGATGAACGATAAATAATTACCTATGCAAAATGATTGTAAGTAGGTAATCATCTTTATTAAATATTTACTATGATTTATTATGAAAGAAAGCGTGGAGCGTTTTGTCCAAAAAGAGTAAAGATTACACAAGACCTACTTATAATCATTTTGCAAAGGTAATTATTTATCGCTCATCACGAACCGAAATTATTTATGTTTACCTGCGATCTAATGAAAATTTGGCAAAGGGAAAACTCTTGAGTCATCAAGCTAAATGTCCGAATTATTTTGTAATTTTTATCGCATGCTAAAAGTGTGTTTTTTAGTTTTTTAATTATATAATATTTTCTCTATGTCGATTATTTCTTGTGGATGTATCAAACCCAAAGACTTGTCGACCACAAAGCTTAGTTTTCTTACATCATCACTGGAAACAAAACATGCGTTGTAAATCCGTTAACCCTTGTTCTCAAAGAATAGACAAGTAGCATGAAATACTCTCGCTATATCTTATTTCTGGATTTTTATGGCGCCAGGACTCTGCAAAATCGATGACGCGCTGTCACTGATGTTGGTCATGACGGTTTCCATCGTTCAACCGATCCTCTGTAACATTCTAATTGCATCCAAGTTCAATTTTTACTTTCAAGTATCTAAGTATTTTAAAGTAATTTTTACCATCTAAGATGCAAGCGTTTGATACATACGGCGTTTTACAATCGTTCAAAAATATTCGTTTTTGTAACTAAAATAATAATTTTTCGTGAAAAGAGAGAGAGAGAGAGAGTATAAAAAATCTGTAACTATCGGCAACCACAATAAGATAATTACTTTAGTAGCTATTTTGTTTATTTGAAAGATAATTTTTTGTTCTCTCTTGCTGATCATTTTAATCCACAAAAATCTACAGTATGATGGATATTTATTCATATTTTGTATTTAGAGTATCCTTTTTGTTGTTTTGTTTATTTTGTTGAATCAAACAATTTTTTAGTATTCTAGTAAAAGTTTTTTTTTTGTATTGGTGGGAAGATTTAACGGCAGAGCGAATATTCGACTTGAAAGAGCTGATATTTGAAAGTCTGAAAGAAAAACTTGCAACAACTGGAATCAAAGCATTACGAAATCCACGCTGTTCTGTGGTAACAAATGATTTTCTACATTACGCAGTGCTTACGCGTGTTACAAAGAAAATAGATGGAATTGTTGCTGTGTCAAACCGTTTTTCTCACTCACTTGGAGGTAATTTAATTTCTCAATAAATAAAAATATTGTCTGCAATCTAAATTGTAATTTTCTTTTTTTTTTTTCATTTTCAGTGACGGAAATCACAAATTTTTAGAATAGAATGAAAAGTGAGGTTTTCATTTTAAGTTACTATTTTTCAACAAGAAAGAAAACGATAACAATGATAAATCCACAGAACTGGTACTTTTATAAAAAAATTTCTCAATGTTAAGGATTTGTTGATGTAATGTATAACATTTTTTTTTTTAAAGTTTAGTTTTTAAAAAGTTTACTTTACTTGTGTTGACACAGTTGTATGATTTGTGTTTAGTTGTAATGACACTGTAATGTTACATTTAATTCTATTGTAATTTATTTTACTTATGAATGATTAGGTGAACTGAAAAAAAGTTTAGGCGAGAATCAAAACAAAAAATCATAAATAAATAGAATTGATTTTTGTGTCAAAACAAAGGAAATTATAATTTTTTTTTACTTAGCAATGCATGGTATTATTTAATTAATGAGGATTAATATCCTTGATTGTAAGTTCTTATTGTAAGCTAAAATTTGTTTCCATTAATAAAAATATAGAACATTGATTTTATTGACCTTTCATTATCTGATCTTAATATGGATATTTACAGTCTGTCAAATCAATTATAATAACATGTTGTACGCGTTTTTCCCTCAGTTCGTCTTTGTGATAGTAATCGAGGTAAGAATATGGAATAGTGGTTACAATATTTTTGCATTATTTCTGTCAAATAATTGTGTATGATTATTTTTAACTATGATACATTTATATTTAATTATAAATTTATGCAATTAATTTGAACAGATTCCATGGCAAGGTTAGTCAGCTCATCAGATGTGTCATATACATAGGTAAAGCTGATACCTGAAGAGCCCCGTGACTAATAACCCTTATATTTATGTTCTTCTGCTGATTTGTTTTTTCTTGAATAATTGTTTTCGATAAAGTATTGCAATATCTTGTGATAAGTAACAGATTCATGCAAATAGAATTGTAGTTAATTAAAATATAACCATTTCTATACGATCCAATGCTTTCATGCTGGAAAATTTGGTACTGAACTCCGGCATTGGTGGTGCCACCAGAGATGTGCGACGTAAGGTGTAAGGTTTCACTAAACATATATTTATTGACTAAACATAATTGTGAAGGCCATTCCCTTTGTTGTCCCTTTAATAATATTCACAACTTATATACTGTATAAAGTGTGAGAAAGAGGGAATAATAATAATCCTGTGTATGGTGTATGTATGCTGCATGCTGCCTTTCTGATAGTCATGGTGTCAAAGCATTGATGAGGATAATAATTATTATTTTGCCTTAACATCATGACGATAGAGCCAGTTGTTTGTAATTATAAGGATGTGGGTGATAATAAGGATGGTGGCGATGATGATGTTGCTGATGATGATAATGGTGGTGATGGAGATGTTAAGGATGGTGGTAATGATGGTGCTGGTGATTGTGATGATGATGATGGTGGTGATGATTGCTTAGCGATAGAGCTTCGGGAGCCAGCATCACGCTTTCATTATTTGATGGTGATGCTTAATGATGATGATGATGGTAATCACGATTATGACGATGATGATAATAATGTAGGACCAGCAAGCTACACCATAATTATTGCAGGGGCTATCGGGTAAGGCAGTGTCGTACTCTGGGTAGCGGTTGTGATGATGATGGTGGTGATGCCTACCCCACAGACCTACAGTCCTGTGCGAAGGCTAACATCCCACTTCATTGTTTGATGATGATGATGCTGGTGATAATAGGAAGGTTATGGTGGTGATGATGGTGTTGGTGATGCTTGCTACATTGCACAAATCTGTGACAATGAGGCATTAGAGGCTAGCATCATAGCTCAATTGTTTAATGATGATGATGGGGATGATGGGGGTGGTGATGATAATTATTAATGATGATGATGACGATGACAGAAATGATGACTCAGTATTATAATTGAACATACGCATACATGTGTATACATTGTATTTTTACTACTTCCTACATCTTTTGCTTCATATATATACACTTATACAATATGGATTTCCTTATATACATGTATACATTACATTTCCTTCCCCTTTCATAGGGTATTGAATACGAACCCCCTCAGAATCAGTACTCGGTTGCCCATATAGGGGAGTCGATACGACCAACACCCGGTCAGCATTCCCATCAACGCCCACCAACGCAGGATTTCGCCCACACTGGGGGCAGAACATAACCGCACCTTGAAATACAACCCCACTATATGGACGTACTGGAATGTCCATCCATCTGGAACTCCCACCTGGCAGTTCAGGCATGACCAAGCGTTGTCAGGGACCCCCAGGAAGGTGATTTTCACGTGGCGGACCTGTTGATCAGCCCCCCGAAGGACCCATCCGAGTTCAGCGGCCTGGCGAATTTGTACATATGGTTGAGGGCTTGGAGGCCACGAATATATTGCACGAGGTGGAAGTTCTTTATTAAGGGGGGGGGGGAGGGGCATGATACACCTGCAAGTGGGCATCATACCCCTGGACCACAGGCACTGGTCGCGACAAACGTGGGTGCAGGGGGTGGATCCGCCACTGGAAAGGGCTCCTCAATCGGTGGTCCCGGAACTGATGGGTCCTCCGCGGCAGATGCCGGGTCCTCCCCCTGGTTCTCACTATTTAATGGCCCGTTCTGTGGGGAAGCGGCTCTGGCAACGGGTGATGAAGGGCTTGGAGGAAAGCACATCCTGAGGAAATTAATAATTCGTAGAAATATCCAGTGCAGGGTTGGATAAAGAGGAAAAGTCGTTTTACCTGACATTTCAGCAACTCGGTGCTCGGCGTTCTTTGTACTGGGAATTTCTGTAAATGAGGGGAAAATAACTTTACCCCTTATTTTTTATTAGGCAATTTACAGTTCAAGTAGGTTTAAAATTTTATACATTGTGTCATAGGTGTACACAACATACATACACAAGTACGCAAGTATTCTGAAATGTCTTCTTTCAAACCGTCCCAAAAATATTTCTCGCGTATTCTGCTATATAGATATTTACTATGCCTTTACGTTCGCCTATTAGAGAGTTATGAGCCTCATTAATTATTCCTAACCTATCGTCGTGTAAAGCGATAGTAACCTCGCCAGTACAAATAGTGAGCAGTAAATGTTCCTTTTTCCAGTCTTGTGGTAATGAATGTTGCATGGAGACACAATCGATCCACCATGGATTGCCTGGTCAAAATTCAAAATCTTATTAGTGGAAAAGTAGAGGGGGTCAACAAAAAATAGAACATGAACTGAAAGATAGAATAAAAAAAAAAAAAAGAAAAAAGTCTAAATAAAAATTCCATGAATGATAATAGTGAATCTAAATAATTAAATACCCACAATAAGCAAAAAAAGAGGGATTAATGCAATAAAAAAAGGCATATTAATGGAAAAAAGCCGGTGGCATAAAAAACTCAGATTTATTGACACGAATCGAGATTACAAATGAAGTATAAATTGGTTACGATCGAATTGACTTGAATAAGTGTGTGTGTGTGTGTGTGTGTGTGTGTGTATGTGTGGGTGTGTTACTGTAGGAGGTAGGAGGGGCAGGACCTAATGGTAAAGACTCCTAACGCTCAATATTCAAGGGCGAGAAGCAACGGAGTGATCTCCTCTGTGATCCGGTGGGCTCTGCGAGGTCGCACGAGTCAGCGCAAGGCTGGTAAAAGCGAGCCGATGCCCGGAAGAGGAAATAGCTACGACCTGCAGTAGTTCAGAAATGGTGGTCTTGGCGAATAGCGGGTTTGGGTGGGAACCCTGAATCCGGAACGAGAACTGGAATGAAGCGGACGAGATATGGTGTGATAGCGGGATGACAATGTATACTGAGTAGGGTGTAATAGACGTGCAATAAGTGTAATGTGTAATGACGTGATTGAAACAGATGAGTGAAGAACGTGCGATGTCAAGATGATGTTATGATCGTATAGAGGAGATGCGAGACTAATGGTGATAAGAATTTGCAGAATAGGTGGTATAAATAATAAAATGTTTATGGACGTGCTTGAAAAGTGATCGTGAGGCTAATGGTTGTGAAATTGAAGTCAACACAAGGATAGGCAAGAGAGAGATTAGATTAGATTAGATTAGATTTTTATTAAATAGCTAAGGACTCAGGGTCCATAATAGCCAGAGTTAGGTACAAGCTGACAAAGTTTAGAGCAGGTAGCGCTCTAATACATAAAATTGCTTATAACTTAAATATATATAATATAGAGAATAAATACAATAGTAATAAATAATAGTTGTTATAAGATATAACAAATTCGTTAGAGAAAAGTAGAGTAAAAAGAAAACATTACAAAAATATTACAAAAAGTAAAAACTAATAGGTAATACGTAGACTATTGTGGTAGTAAAATACTAATAGCTGAGATCACTGGTCCTCGATATCACAGGCACACATAAAAAACACAGATGCTTATCTAATCTAAATAATTAGGTCGATCAAGAAGAAGCTCGTAGAGCTTGCTGCCAAAACAAGGTCTCGCAAAACACGCCTGGATGCCAGTCGGTAGCTTGTTCCAGAGCTTTAACGCACCCACTCTAAAAGCAGCTATGTAGAAGTCAATCCTTGCTGAGGGCACATTCAGATCCAGAGGAGACGTTCTTACACCTGTTCTTTCTGGGATCTTGAACATGCCGGCTGTCTTGATTTCAGCATAGTGGATAGAAAGCGCAGAGTAAGATATTTGATTCGTACATCATATGCCAATAACTTAAAGCGTCGATAGGTAGGTGATATGTGGTCGGATTTCTTGATGCCTACCACGAATCGCAAAGCTGCATTCATACACCTACTTAGCTTAGTTTTTAATTCACTAGACAAACCAAGCTGCAAAGCAGGGCAGTACTCGAGAATAGAGAAGACTAACGACTTGACTAGCATAAGCTTAGTTTTCACTGGTAAGAAGTAGGCATTCCTTCGTAGTCTTGCAAGGGCAGAAAAACATCGTTTAGCTACCTCAATGGTATGAGGCCTAAACGTAAGGTTGGAGTCCAGAGTTACACCCAGGAGTTTCATGGTATCACTGGGCACTATGACAGAGTTTTTAAGTTTGATGTCAGGAATAGCTAAATTGGAGAGCTTGGCTTGTGTTCCTCGTGTACCCAACCAAACTGCACGCGACTTCTCAGGATTTGTGTACAACCCATTGGTGTCAGACCAGACCCATATATTGTCCAGTATACGATTAGCCTTATCAACAACTTCGTGGGCTTGAGACAATGGGCCATGCACATAGAAGCAGAAGTCATCAGCATATAGATGATACGAGCAGTCGCAGACATCTGGGAGATCATTTATAAATAATGAAAAGAGCAACGGCCCTAATATTGAGCCTTGCGGGACTCCACTTACTCTTAAAGACGGTTTTGAAGCACGTCCTTCAGAGTCAATTACGATCTGGGACCTACCAGTTAGGTAGGATCTTATCCAGTTGCAAGCTGAGTCAGACAGTCCGAAAGATACAAGCTTTTCGCAGAGTAAGTTAATGTTTACAGCGTCAAAGGCGCGTGACATATCAATAGAGACCAGTAACGTAATTTCATGATTGTCAGAGAATTCCCGAATATCGTCAACTATTTTAGTGAGAGCAGACTGCGTGCTATGGCCAGCACGAAACCCAGATTGATTAGTACATAGTAAGTCGCGAGAATTAATATACTCCATGAGTTGTTTATAGGCTATAAATTCAAAGATTTTACTTAAAGCTGGCTGGATACTTATAGGTCGAAAATCTTTTAAGTCCTTGGCACCAGATTTCTTAGGCATAGGCCGAACAAGAGCAATTTTCCAGGCCTCCGGAAACGTACTGGATTGGAAAGAAGCATCAAATATACTCATTAGTGTTGTTGCCAGGAGATCAACGTGACTATTAAAATAGCAGAGAGGTATCCCATCAGAACCCATGGCATTGGAACGTGCTGACAAGATAGCCGTACGTACATCGTCAAAAGTCACATGGCGAAAATAAAACCTTTGATCCGGATCAATTCTTAGAAAAATACCACGACGTACGTCGAACAGAGGATTGACGCTGGTTTTACCAACAAAGTGACGATTGGCAACATCCAAGTCAAACGGGATGTTCACTTTAGGAGTATCAGATTTTTTTGTGAGGCCTAGGTCGTTGATCACTTTCCACTGTTGGGAGGTACACTTGCACCTGCAGATGCAGTTATAGTAATATGCATGTCGAGCGTTTCTCATCTCAATTTGGGCTCTATTTCGGATCTGTTTATATGCTACCTGGGTGACGTTCGAGGGTGTGCGTTTATAGTCTCTCTAAGCTCTATTACGATCCCTGATGACAGACTTGAGATGTGGAGTTATCCAGGGTAATGGCCTGCGTTTCCTTGTAACTGTTTCATAGGGTGCATGCTTATCATAGAGGCTAGAAAGTGCTGTAGTCAGAGCAGCCACTTTGTGCTCTGGGAATCCATCAGGGTTAATATTTTTTAAAGCAGCAATTAAGTCTTCTCGAAACTCATCACGATTAAAAGACTTGAAATTACGGCGAGTGATAACTGAAGCATCAGCAGAAGGTACAACATGTTTCAGTTTGACAAAGATGGCATCATGCTTAGAGATAGAAAATACCTCAAACTGAAAGAAGCTTTCGATGTCTACTTGCTCAGATAAGCATATATAGTCAATGGTTGAGCTGGAGTTTTCAGTATGGTGTGTGGGACCATAAGAAACAGGGTGGAGTCCTAGTACTTGAAGAGACTCCTTGAAAATAGTCACGCTTGTAGACTTGACATGCCAGTCAAGATTTAAATCACCCATCAAAATAAGATGGTCAAAAGATGAGTTGCAATTCATGATTGCTTCTTCAACCTCAGACCAAAAGCCAGCCTTGGGGGGATTGTAAACAGTGGCGCAGAGAAATTTTTCCAAAGCAGTCTGGATCTCAACTAGTAAAAATTCAGGTTTCTTCGAATAAGCTTCACCCTGAACTAAACAGCTCACAAGCTTACTTCTTAGGGAATTGTGCACATACAGGGCAGCTCCACCACCTCCTTTAGTTGCAGGTAGCCTATCACAGCGGAAGAACGAGTAGTCCTGTATGTTAACCAAAGTAGAGGGTTTGTCGGGCTTGAGAAAAGTCTCACTGATTCCAAAAATGTGTGGTTTATGAATAGAAATTAATTCGTGCACATCGTCGAAATGTCTTAGTAAAGATTGCGCATTTATATGGCCAATAGAGAGAGAGAGAGAGAGAGAGAGAGAGAGAGAGAGAGAGAGAGAGAGAGAGAGAAATGTAGACCGAGAAAATGGTGGACAGATGATCGAGTGGGCGTGCAGTGGGTTGAGGAAGGATGATCACGAAATGATTGTGATGAACAGTGATTTCGAATGAAGGAGGGTTGATTATTATTAGGAAGAAGCAATACGAGTAAGAGGTGAAAGAGTTGTTGTATGCAAGAGTGAGCAAGAGATCGACAGGTAAACGATGAATTAAAAGATCGGTGTGAAAGATGTGGAGATATAGCGCGAGCACGAGATGTAAAATGAAGAATTCGAGTAATGAAATGAAAGAAAGGTTGCTTCGATGTCTAAAGGTAAAGATGAGAAAGAAAATAAATAATATGCATTAGTCTAAACGTCTCAACGACAGACTCCTTCTTCTTTTTTTTCAGTGGCTAGGGACTTACTGATCACTTCGAATACAAAGTCCGAGTGGCCATTACCAGGTAAGGCGACAGTCTCCTGAGTCCTGGGGCTCGATGACAGCGGCGAAAATTTCCTGCTGATATAACAAACTGTGATTGGTAAAAGGCACTAAGTGACGGAGAGATACTTTCAGTTCAGCATGCCAAGCAAGAGAGAGCATGAAACGAAAAACGAGCTGTTAAGTCCTGAAAGCTGAATCCCTGCCCCTATCACCACCATACTGACGGGACTCGAGCCAATCAGTGTCGGTGCAAGCGTGCGCAAGACTCCAGAGGTAATTATGGTGTGTTCGACTCTGAATTAACATGTGTTCTGCTCCAATGCTCGTGTAATATATAGTCGTTAGTCGTGTGTTGTATATATATATAATGCAATATTAATTAAGTAAAGGCACAGATCGGTGATACTTCTTGTGTAGATTCCTATTTTGGTCTTTATATTAATCATCCTGATGATACCATCGCTCCCCGGATGAATCTCTATGACTACTCCCAGTGGTCAATGATTACTTGAATGATTTTTCTTAGTTAGACTGACAACAGATCCAACCTTTAACTCTCCGCTATGTCTTCAAGCCATTTTGTTCGTTTCTATAATTAATAGGGGTATTCAGAATGCCAGCGTTTCCAAAAATCCTACCACACCTTCACAATGAATTTCCATGCTGGTATGGATCTAGAACGGAAATCAAATCCCGATCAGGCAACACCGTGAGAGGACGGCCAATAAGAAAGTGCGTGGGATTGAGTACGGCGGGGTCGTTTGGATCGCTTGACATAGAGCTAATGGGACACAAATTTAAAATCGATTCTATTTCGATATAGAGGGTGTTAAGCTATTTGAACGTTAGCACTTGCTTAACCCTATAACTCGCTTTAAGTGATGCTTAAACAATTTGATGGCAGATTCCCATATCCCCCCAAAATGTGGCGAAGCTGGTGGATTGAAGTGCCAAATGATGTTATGGGTTACAGCGTAATTGTTGATTTTATCGTAGAACGACTCTGAATAAGTAAGACTATAAATTTCACGCAACTCATTGTTCACCCCTATAAAATTAGTCCCGTTATCCGAGTAAACATGAGATGGAACTCTTCTATGCCCTATAAATCTTTTAAAAGCTCCAATAAACCTTTCGGTTGTCATATTGTTTGCTATCTCAATTTGAGCTGATTTGGTGGTCATGCAAATAAATATGCAACAGTACACTGGAAAAATTATTCGATTCCTAAACTTTTTCTCCCTTATGATGATCAGACCAAAATAATCTACCCCTACGTGTTCGAAGACCGAAGTTTGTTGCACGCGCGCCTGAGGTAAATCGCTCATTTTCGCTTGTAGGGTCACGGGTCTATGTCTGATACCCGAAACGTAACGTCTAACAACACTCCTAACCTGATTCTTTCCATCTAGCAACCAAAAACGTTGACGAATCTTGTACAACACCCCTTGAATTCCCCCATTCAACAAAGAATAATGAACCTCCCGTATGATGAGGTTGGTCACGTGGTGATATGATGGTAGCAGTATCGGGTATTTCTGTCAGTCAGAGATTTTCGGGCGTCGCAGTCGGCGTCTTACTCACAATAAGCCATTCAAATCCATAAAGGGATCAAAAGCTACTAACCTCGTATTTCTAGTGCTTCCTATTTTTTCGATTTGATCTATTTCTTTTTTGAATTATTCTCGTTGTATGAAATATAATAGTCCGATCTCGGCTCTGGTTCTCTCAGCAAGTGATAATGGACTCCGAACTCAATCAGTCGAAAAATGACAACGGGGACAATACGACAGGGAGTTGATCAACGCGAAGTAAGTAGATTGACGCTTATAAAAGGGTTCCATTGCAGATGATTCCTGTAACGACAAGTTTGAAACAATTGGCACCGTAGATTGGCAGGATTCCGCTGTCAATATCAAGCAAGTTGACGCCTTTAAGCCAGAAAAATTTACAACGTCTGTTTTCTCTGACTTGGGCCACTCCTCCTCTGGACTGTACAATCTAGGCATCCTATTGTTCCATTTAGTGTACCTTATGGCTCAACCGGATTTTGACCTCAAGAATGAATGTCAGCAAAATTGTTTTTGCTCGACACATGACGCCACTCAACCGTTGCAGCCAGTTCCTGAATCTCAGTGACACGATTTCCTTCAAAGACCTTGAGAGCCTGAGGTGGTTTCTTGATCCTTGCAGCATAATTTCAGAATCTGACCAAAATACAACCCTACTTATCGAACACTAAAAGGATTCCCTAGATTCTTTGAATAACCGAACCAACGTTAACGCTCCACACAACTCGAGCCGGGGAGTTGTTGTTTGCTTGACTGGAGCGATACGAGACTTTGAGCGAGCTAAACGAACAAGAACCTGTCCAGACCTATCTACTGATCGAACGTACCAACATGCCCCATATCCTCCCTGACTCGCATCACAGAACCCATGTAATTCGATTGTCACTGCCTGTGGTAAGAGAAAGTTTCTTGGAATCGAAACTTCCTCCAGCAATTGAATCTGCTCTGCAAACATAGTTCATTTGGTAAAGAGTTCCTGGGGTACCGATTCATCCCAACCAACCTTAGCTCTCCAACACTCTTGCATAATTCGCTTTGCTGTAAATACTACCGGCCCTAACAATCTCAGTGGATCCAAATTTTTATCGATTTCTGACAATATTTTCCTCTTCGTGATCGTTTTGGACAGCGTCATAGACTTCGTTGAATATGAAAATCGATCTACTTGTGAATTTCGCTCATCCAAACTGTCGAATGCGTGCTGGTGATTTGACGTCCACTTTCTTATTGTAAATCCTTCTCGAGCTAACAGTTGGATCAAGTCGTCACGAATTAGCAAAGCTTCTGGTAATGAATAAGTTGAATTAGTATCCTGCTTGGCCATTGAATTCCCAGCTGTTGACTCGTTGCCTCGAGGAACATCAGTTTCCATGGTGTAAAGTCTGGATATGATTCCATCTATAAACCTATAAAATTGTTCGAGAGTTTGAAGTTCGTCGACTCCCAGTGCGGACTGAAGAGGACCTATATCGAGAACAACATCAAGATGCTTCGATACTAGAATGCGTTTTTGCTCGTACAACTTGATGAGAGTTTTCCAAGCGATGCTGTAATTCTTCTAACATCATAGATCGTGATCTTTTTCACTGCCTCACCCTGCAAAGTATTTTTTAAGTACATGAACTTGACGAGGTCATCAATGTCGTTTGGAATGTGGATCATGGTGTAGAACGAATTTTTCTACGATAGTCATTCCTCGTGACCACTACTGAACTTGGGGAGTTTTGCGACCAGGAAATTTAAGAGCTGCTGTTCTTCCATGAACGTTGAGTTGCCCATAGGAGTTCCTAGATTTGATACTCCACCTTCGCCTCGTGCAATTTTTTCCACAAGAGAATAGTAATTTTGAGAAATCTCCGTCCAACCTTTTACCTCCATAGCTTTTCCTTGTTCTCCACTCATCACGTCTGTTAAATCTTCACTTGCTTGAAATCTCTTAAATCTCCTAATCACAAGTTCGCAATCGTACTATCTACCTTGTTCCCGATACTGACTCGTCTAAATTTCTGAGTCGACCTTTGAACAAATTGATCCCTTGACCACTATTTCTGAGGGTATTTGCTCAGGCCCCTTATCGTCATTGCCCATGATTGCAAGTTTAATTAAATTTAACAATAAACGATTCTATTTCAATTAGTCAACGTCGACAATGGCGTAGCCTTAAGTGGAGTAAAGCGCTCGTCGCAAATTCAAGAGGCTGGTTAATCAAAAACGTTTAATCAAATACAATAAAGTGCCTAATTTTAGAACAAATAAAATTAAATATAAAGAATATAGTAAAGGGTCAAATACCAGTTATGATTAATTAATATCCTAAAATTTACTCTTTACATACAAAATCACTTATAAAATGATCAAACTAGATTTAATTAAGCGTTACCAGGAGGGGGGCGCTAAATTGTAACTATGCACTAACACTCACATTTATTATTATTATTATTATTATTATTATTATTATTATTATTATGTGTCCCTGATACAAATAAGAGGATTGAAACAAAGGAAATATCACTTATCTGTATGCCTTGGACGTAGACAGGCTGCGGCTACTGGGAGAGAAGTATCCGGTGGAGCGATGATGTCTAGTCAACAAAGAAATGGTCCTGCAATTTGATGATTGTTGATATGGATGATGCAGCGTGAATTCCTACCTTACAAGAGGCACCAATGAATATTTAATAGGTAACCAATGAAGTTTATCTAATCTGTCCTCTATTTTGGCTATACTCACGGTAACTACTCGTAATTAATCATGGCATCCCTCATCCCTTGAAAAAAACTTTTCGAGGAATCAGGAATAGATTTTCTCCTGTATTAGGCATCAACAACCTTGGCGTTCAAAAGTAATAGGCCCTTAACGTAAACAAGTGAATTACGTGACTACTGGCAGGACTCATCCCAAACAAAAACAAGTTTGGCCTTTAGTTAGCTGCCCCTTATACCTTTGAAGGGATTTCCAGAACAACTTTGCCTAAGGAAATTCGAGGATAAATTAGGACAAACAAGTGGCCTACGTGACTTTTGACATTGTAATTGTAGTTTTATACATTGTAATTAGAGTTAAGGTGAACCAGCCTGCGAACAGGTATATGCATATACCTCTGCAGGATTGCGAGGGAATTCATGTTTCTATTGCTCTGTATATTTTGTATACTCTGGTTAAAATAAATAAATAAAATAAAATAAAATTTTTTAGATTTGGATAATACTGCAAATTATTTTTTCATCCTAGATGATAGCGAGAGTCATGTAAAAACAGTGTGATAAATATTATAGAAAGTGCTAGATGATGTTTAACCCTCATTTAATTTTTTTAAGGACACCTGAATACATCCAACATTAACATTAATAATTTATGTCCTAACTATTAACAAAATATATTTTTTTAAACTTTAGGATTACCTTTGAACTTTTTTTAGGTATAATAATTTTAAAGTAGGTCAAAAATTATGAAAATGGTTAAGAGTCGTATATTTTTGATTTATTGAAAATCCTATATTATTTGAGTCTGAAATAAAAATGCATCTGGAATTGAAACGTATCTGGCAGCATTTGTTAATTTAATTTTTTTCGGATTTTTTGATTAGGATTTTTATTTTAGGCTACAATGAAAATAAGGAAAGACTATAAACAATTGAATTTTTACGTATTGAATTAATTTTTATTTTACATACCTTTTAAAAGCTCTTAAAAAGGCATCCTTACTTTGGTTACAATGTTAATAAAAAAGTTTACTAAAATGCGTAACACTCAGCACATTGAAAAAATAGTACTTTGATACATATTAGAATCAATTTATAGAGAATTAAAATAAATTTTTATCATTATTTACTGAGGTAAATATTAAATGACAGGTATTACATTAAATTAAACGTACGTACAAACTTTAACCTTGTATTAAACTTCGACTAGATATATTAAAATTACATAATCCACACTCTTAATTTTAACCTTTCAGCTTTGCATTCCTCAATGTATAATAATAAGTTAAAGAAGATATATACTTTAAGTTATACATTATTAGTATATCTCTGAAAATCTACACCAATAATACGTAAGAAGATTCTCTGTTGGTAATTTTTTCAAGTATTTGACGTCAGTAGGTCGTAGTTACGATCCTTCAATGACAATTTTTTAATTAATTAATTAATAAATAAAAATAACTTGATAGTAAAAAGATGTTTTCCATACAAGATAGTTCTTATATTTATTGTGTTTGGAAATATAATAAATAAGCACGAGCCTTTATATTCTTTTTTATAGCCTTAAATAATTAATTTTTTAATTGTTTCAGGATTTAATTTAAAATTTTTCCTTCTGATGATCAGCCTTCGTAAATAAATACATCAATTTATCTAGCAGTACGTAAGTGCATCTGCACATAAATCATACATTATATATTTCGTTGTTGTTTTCCAGATCCATACATAATTAACGTAAGTTTTTTACTCCATACTTCAACTAATACTTTTCGTCAACTTTGTCAACCTATCACTATATTTTAAGTGGACAAAATTATGATTTGTCAATCATACGTTTCAATTTTTAAGTGTGTTAATGAATTACAAAGAAATATACACAACTGTTGACAAATATTATACATATCCTTTTTTTTATTTATTTAAAATGACCCAATGTACGTTTTTTGTACGTTGTTACTGTGCAGTCAAGATAAATTCAATATTGAAATTTGATTCATCTTCGGTAAAAGTCAAGGTAAAAATATTTAAAATTGAATCGACACAGCTTTCGTACCTTCAACTTAAAGTATCTTAATTGTAACTTTGAAGGTTAACGTACAGTAGAAGTAAGTCATTAAATATGAATACTTTTACGGCTTACATAAATAATATAGCTGTTATGTGTAGGAAAGTTTGATATTGATGTCGAAAAATTTAATTTACAAATACAATACGTTTACTTAAAAAAGGAGGTAAGAATTATTTTAAAAGAATAGAAAAAATGGATGACAAGTAGTTTTTCCGTGCATATTCTTGAAAAAAGTGACGAGCTTGTAGCTATAGAATATTTAATCGTCAGCTTGTAGGAAAAAGACGAGTGAGCCAAAACGAGCAGTAGCTAAGCTCAACTGTATCGATGGATTTGTGGCACTGAATAGTCAAGCTCATATCAGTCACCCTTTTTCCCTTTTTTGTGGTTTTTTGTGGCTCCATGGAAGAAAATATAATAAACATACAACTTATATCATAATGCTCTGTTATATTCAAAGGAATGAAGAAAAAAATAGAAGTAATGTCATGTATGTTGTAATAATACTATCCTTTTCTGGTAAAAAATCTAGTGCTCTCGCTTCGGGAGCGAAAGTCCCATATTTCGTCCATACATGCATTTATTTTTATAAATCGTCAACTTAGCTTCTTAATAAATGCATCGCAATGATCTATGTTCTATCAATTGTCATTGAAACTCATTGATCATAAAAATAACGTGATATTGACCCAAGCATATACTTGTCGACTGCCTTTACCAACATTTGAAAGACACCCGTCAGAGATACACAAACATAATTCTACACGACCAATTTTCATCGATAGACATAGATTCCTTCATTGGAACTCCCGCGTGTTCGAGTCGCAGTTGATGAGTGGCGCTACGTCCCACTCGTCCAGCTCCTCGTTGGACTGCACATCTCGCTTGGGCCCGAGCAAAAGGCAGGACCCCCGTTTTGGACTGCTCGGGGCAGATCTGCAGACAGCTCTCAGCAATCCTTTCTTGCCGAGTCTTAGCCCCTTTGTCCTCGGCATGTAATCCACCGCAACTTCTTCGTCATTGCCCAGGTAGGGACTGTCGGGTCTCAGGATGGTCTCACTGCCGCCGTCCACGTGAGGCGCGAGCTTCAGCTGCACCGTGGCTGGCAGTCGCAGTGGTAAAGCCAGTTCACCGATGTGCTCCACACAAGGGCAGGAGCTGCTGGACGACCTGGAGTACGAAGTTTAGACGAAAAATGCAATTTTTTACTGTACAGCTACCAAGTATATGTTTCCAACCTGGTGCCCTCGATGCACGACGATCTTCCCAACGAGCACAGACCCTTGCACGGACTGCCATCCATGATGGACTCGAGTTTGCCGGCTTCGACATCACCTCTGCTAGCCTTGGCCGTTTGGTCTAGGTGATCCGAGCTGGCGAACCTCAGTCTTTTGGGCGACTCGCGGGAACAGCGTAGGAACGCGGCTCGAGCGAGTGATTTGTTCTTGAGCGAGCTTCGCGGTGCCAGAGGATCAAAGTGGTTGGTCCCACCAGTGCCGTCACTCGGCTGCGGTTGGCCACTGGAGGTGATGGTTCCGTGGCGAGCTCGCCGGGCCAGCCTTTCGCGGTTGCGAGCCTCGCGCATCGACGGCTCTTCGCCAATCAGCCAAAAGGTCAGGCGTTCGCCTTTGCCCTTCATCGAGACTAGGCCACGCTCTGCCAGACTAAAACCCCCAAGCTGGTCCAGCAGCGATTTCGTCTCCATGCTGCAGTGGATTCGTAGAGCTGTAATTCGGTTCGTCGATTGGTTTCATCGTTGATTCGCGTCAAAATTAAAATTTTTTGGAATAATATTTTTATAAAAGGATCAGCTAAAGCATGATTACTTAAAAGTAATCAATTGACAACTTTTTATTTTAGATCTTCTTTATAATTGTCTTATGAAAAACAAGATGTGTTTGTTGCCATATAGAGAAGACCGGGTGCGGTTGAGCCAAATAATGGTTGTGGTAATGGTCATATTAACGAATCTTTCAATAATAATGGGAGGCATCAAGGTAAGGGAGGAGTAGCATGCTCATCTGAATGTATATTACTGGATATGGTTAACCACAGCACGATACTAATGATAGTATGAGTCTTTACTTTTGAACATGCAGTAAAGGAGTTAACATATATATCAGATTTATTTTTATGATTGTGTCCATACATATATAGGTAGAACTATGAGTGTTTTTTCTGGTAATAAGTTTAACATTACCAGTCAAACAGTGGTAGATATTTTTACGTAGGTTATTTTGTATTTTTGTGATAATTTTTCCTTTGCTACGGAGTACACTGGGTACAGTTGTGATAAATTTCCTATAGGTACGCATATGGCAGTTTCCCCTTCCAGTGATTTTAATATAACTTTTCCCATCACTTGTTTAGCATTTTGACACAATGAAAACAACGGATAAATAGAAATATTTAGTGAGTTTTTTTGATCGATTGTAACATAAAGACATACAACTGTAAGTCCTATAGTACCTTATTGGTTACAAGCGATTCGAAGGTCCCAGGTTTTATCTCTTATGTTACATTCATATATATTCGGTATTAAATCAGTGGCTTCTCGGAAAAAAGGGGTTAAGTCCATTTTTTTTTTTTTTTTTAAATCGAGTTAGCAGTGGATTTGGTATCCCTAAGTACCCTTCTTATGTAACCAAAGTTGTAAAAGCTAATTGGACACCTATCGTGAGATATATCGAGGAGTGTTGAAGAGCATAAGTCCATTCCTGAAAAAATTGTTCCTTGAAAAATGTTTCCTGCAGTTTAAGAGCTCCGTCAAGATATGTTGACTTATTTTTAACAAATTTCCGATATATTAAGTCACCTACAGTCAATTCCAATGGTAAATTGAGTCAACAGACTAAAGAAAAAAAAACAAGAAAAAAAAAGAGTGAAGGAGGGGGGTGAGGAGAAGAAGAAAAGAAGAGAAAGGAAGCAACTCGAGCGTTGATAGACCTTTTACGACAATGTACGAAATATTTTAAACAAAAAGCATTCATATGATAATAAACTAAGCAATTGAACGAAAAGAACGTGCAGTTTCCAAAATAAGGGCATAAGTTCCGTTTCTGGAAAAAGGACAAAAGTCCATCAAAATTCAAGCATTTTGCTGCTTTCTGCTAGCACAAAAACATTTTCTTCGCAACTTGTACTTAAACGTTCCTTGCACTTTACTTCGATTATCAGAATAGTACGAATTCCAACATTTCCAACTCGCTTATCTGGATCTTATAGTTGTGATCAAACATTAAAATGCGATTTTCTCGGAATCGTTAAAAAAAAGCCTTGCTCTCTTTTTCCGAGAAGATACAGAAATGATTTTGCGTTATATAAAATCTTACTTGCTATAAAAGTGATTTCAAACCATTTTAATGCATGTTTTTACTTGTCACAACCGTCCCCAGGTACCGGCACAACCGCCCCTAGGGTGTGGTCGGTTGTGGCTTTTTTTTTTTTTTTTTTTTTTTTTTTCTAATCAGCTTGTACGTGCAAATGTTCCTATTTTTAGTCAAAATTTTTGTGCACACATGTAGAGGGATATTTAATCTATCATGTTTGGCAATTTTCATCCCCTTCAGTATTATACTTTCCAAGTTATGGATTTTAAAATAAAAAGTGGCACAACTGTACTCAGACTCTTCCTGTATCACCCAATTGTAAATTATGTCTACTAATTTGTATGAGGTGTTTGCTCGTTTACAATAACATAAAAAACTGAATCTACAAATAATTTGTTTGACTCACGAGATCCCGTGGACTCCATTCTGCTGGCAGTGTTGACCGTGTCGCCGAAGAGACAGTAGCGCGGCATCTTGAGACCAACAACGCCAGCGCACACTGGACCTGAAGCATTTGCAAAAACCACCCTATGAATTAAGCTATTTGGTACGAAGGGACTACCTACTCTTCGTGTGATTTAAAAAGCGTCTCACCGGAATGAATGCCTATTCGCAATTGCAGCTTGTCCAAGGGCCTATGTCTGATTGCGAACTGTTTCACGGACTCCAATAGACTCAGCGACATGCTTGCGATTTCTCCAGCGTGCAGGATACCGTTTCGTATTGGTAATCCGCTGACCTGTTAACAAGAGCAACGAATATCAGATGATTTTATCTTTGTGAATTTTTAAACTTAAGATGGTTGTTTTTTTGGAAGAACAGTAAAGTACAATTATAACAACTACAAAAAGCGATGAATTAAGCGGTGGACAATTTTTTAACCCTTGGGTTATTCAACCACATTAGCATGACGCATAACAGGGCACGAGTATTGCTTCAATAAATTTTTTTTCGACTCTACAAAATGTGTACTTGTACTAAATCGAGGACGGGGCGTGGTGGAGATTCGAAAAATTAAATCAAATCAAAATTACGGAGAAACCGAATACACTTTCTCTTATTTTATCGAGTGGCAGTGGATTGAACTCAGATTTTATATAGTTGAAATCATGGAAGAAATGGACGAATTTTTCGTCATTTTCTTAGAGTGTGGCTGTGGGGTGGCGGGAAAGATGTGGACAAACTCACAAAAATAAGTTTATAATATAGGGAAAATGTAGACCAATTCACAAAAATAAGCAGAAAAATACGTGTATGACTACAAACCTACAAAAAACACTTTGGTCATGGGGGGGGGGGTAATCCTTTAACCCCCCTTCGCTACGCCCCTGCACTGGGACCTGATTGTTCGCATTCGAAGATGTTTTATTGGAAGGAAATTGATATCCAGAAATTTTATTTGTGAAAAAGAGAGAGACAGAGGTGTGGATCAGGAAATTGAATGAAACTTTGGAATATTTCTCTTTATGTCGAAACGTAAAAAAAGCTCTATTGAAGATATATATGCAGTGCTCTTTTTAGGTAAACAACTTATTGATTTCTCTATTTTATTGCCCCTTACCAACATAGTAAAAAACAGCTAGGAAGCACTTTGACTTTTTGTATGCTCAAAAAGGAATGAAATTTATGTTAATAATAGTAAATAAAAGCATTCAAATAAATAAAATCGTTTCAATAATATCAAAACGGCCAATTCATGGTAGCCAACATTTGAAATTATATATTTTCTTGCTCTTTATTAAAAAAAATTGAACTCCTAAAAAAGTCAATACTATGCATCTATTTTGAAACCATCACTCTGATGACAAACGTGAAAGTTAAAAATTGTATCAAACAGCCTAAATTCTCCCATGAAACTTGTTTCATTAAAATATATTTAATGAATCGCATCGTTTACTTACGACCATGTATGCGTCTCCAATTGTCTCAACTTTGTAGACATCGTAGTTTTCTATCGTAGAATCAAAACAAGTGTACAAATCGTTGAGAAAGTCAACCACCTAAAAAGATAATACGTCTCAAAACTGTCGTAGTATTTTTACTGTCAAACTATTCAATAAAGAAATATATTTTATCATTAACAGAAAAGGAATCAAATTAAAAAAAAGTACAGTTCGCAACAGCTCAGGCAAAAGAAATCCAAGTATACCTGGAGCGGTGTACTCTCAGCCGACATGGCAGTGAATCCAACGATGTCGCTAAAGTAAATCGTGACGCAGTCAAAGCTCTCCGCTTCAACCTTATGGCCTCGTTTGAGCTGCTCAGCCACGTAACGTGGCAGCATTTCATACAGCAGAGCATCTACAAGCAAATTTCAAGCACATAAACGTTATGTTACTTTATGCGCCAGACGATTTCATCGAGACTTGGTCGCGACTCTCATTGAAAAAATTGCTCGCGTTTTCTCTGGTGAGACAATGCTGCTCAATTACACGATGTACGAGCGTTGTCCCAAGAGGGCAGATGACTAAGGAGAGTAATATATGTCAACGGGAGAAAACTCGGCAATTACGCACTTGCTCTTTCACGGCTCAATTGTGCTTTATTTTCTTCAACTTTACAATTTAATTTTTTTTTTGTATTGCATTTCACTCATTCGGAAATTCTCTTTGGTCTGATTCACAAAAAAAAATTTGTTTGTGCAACTTACTAGTACTGTAAAATCAAAAATTTTGGTACCAGTTTTCTTTTTCTCCTCAGAGAGCTGATCTGTTCTTTCGTCGACCAGAGCCTCCAGGTTGTTCGCGTACTTTTCCATCATAGCCATCATATTGTCGAAAATATTCGGTTTCCTAACAACGACGACCACAACAAAGTGATGAATGAAAACTTAAGTATTTTCAATATCTCGTATCGCATATACTTACATTCCCTTTCTCAACGGTCGCAGTTTATTTCGAATCGTCTTGAAATCAGGACGAGTTTCTGGATTTTCAGCCCAGCACTCAAGCAAACACTCCCTCACAAAGTCGAAGCAATTTTCCAGCTGACCCAGGGGTGGACTGTCAACGGAGCAAGCGTTTCATTTATCGTTTAAAGAAAGCACGAGTAGTGCAATTTTACTAGAACCGGTTACAATAATTACCGGAACGGCGGGTCTTCTGCGGCAATGATTTTTTTCAGAATATCAGGCGCGGATAGCTCCGTGATTCCATAGGGTCCGTGTCTGCCCTGCAGCTCGTACAGTACAATGGCAAACGAGTAGACGTCTCCTCTCTGAAAGTCTCTTGGCGTGGATTCAACAGTCATCGAACGCAGTAGCTCCGGCGCCTTGTACAAAAGTCCTGTGGATAGCGTGTTTTTTATTGTACTTTTTTCCTTTGATTGATTGATTAATTCAATAAATAGAAATCACTTTTTTCATCAATATTATTTTTATGAGTGTTACGAAACGTAAAATTATAGAGACACTATCTGGCAAAGTTTTGAGCAGATGTTGCAATGTCAGCTTAAAAAGTTGTATCGAAAATAATATGTTGCGGGTTTTATTCATGCACCAGTATTTTTTTTATATTTCCTCTGAATCATTCGTTTCAAACAGGGTCAGATGGTAAATTGAGTCAATTTTTCACCACCACGATATTTGCGTTTTAATAATTGGTCTATCTCAAGTAATAACGAAGTAACTGGAAGAAGACACGCGATTGATTAAATAAATCTGTATTTTACAAGTCAAGTGTTGTATCACCGCGTGTGGAAATAGTTATTTACGTAACAAGTGCGGAAAAGACGATTTCCCGCACGAGTTGCGTACAAGTTTTTTCGCAATAAGTGTGCGGAAAATAGGTGTTTTCCGCACACTATTGCGAAATAGTAGTTTTCCTACGAGTTTGAAAAGTCTCTGTTTGCGAACCGAGAAGTTTGCGGTCCGAGCCAAAGGCGAGGGACGTAACGAGGTTCATAAAGGAGACTTTTCGAACGAGTTCCGGAAAACTGCTTTTTCGCCCGAGGAAGTACCAGCCTCCCAAAACTACCCGAGTGCGGAAAAAAATTTTTATAAGCCAAACAAATCATACCTCGGTATTTTTTGATAACGTCAACAGATTCGAGCTCGGCATCGCGCTTAAACTCGTGCAGTCCAAAATCGGCCAGTTTGACGACCCAACGCGAGTCCACTAGGCAATTCGATGTACTGAGAGAACCGTGAAATTTAATGACGGACTCGTGAAGGAAGGTCATACCCTGCGTGACAGATGAGTAGTAATCTAATTTGCTGATGGACAATACGTATATTTTCATTAAAAAATAAAAGTAAGAGAACACTAACTCTGACTATGTCACCCACTAAGGATGCCATGAACATATTGTCAAGCTTGATGTCTTCGTTTTCCAATATGTCTTTCAAACTCCCGCGAGGACAGTATTCGGCTACTATGCAAATATTGGGAGGATCCGTGCAAGCCCCGATAAAAGCATTCAAGTTATCGTGTCTTATGTCCTTTAGCTGCAAAGCAAGGCCAATGTTATTCTTCTGTTCTTAATAAATTATACATCATACATTGATTGAACTAACAGCGTACGTTTATAGAGGCTTACTAACGATTTTGAGTTGCTTCTTCATTTCTCGGGTTATCTCTATCGACTTTTTCTTCACCTTCTTGACAGCGAAAATACGACCCTTGTAGATTCCCACTTGCGTGTATATCATGGAGTAGCGAAAGTCAGCATCGGGGTTCGAGTTTAGGGACGCCTGGCTGGTCCTCACGTACGGCTGACCTGGATTCTAGATATCGAATAAATACGTTCGGAGGAATTTTCATTTCGTTCAAAAGCCGTCGCACCACCAACTCTTAGGGTGTTTCTACTTTATGAAGAAAAAAAAAAAAAATAAAAAAAGAAAAATCAATGTTCCAATACCTTGGAGTTGTTCTTGAAGAGCTGATCACCCGGTGCGGTCGAGTTGTCCTTGGTCTCTTTGATCTCGATGTCCTTGTAGTTGACTTTCCACAGCAGCGAGTCCAGTTCCTGCTCGTACTTGTAGTTTCTGTAGAGCACCGCCGATACAAGGAGGAGTACCACCAAAATCGCCCCAGTGACACCACCGACGATTTCTCCCATGTGGGCTTCGAATAAAAATAAGCGCACTGTCAGGAATACTTCCGTTGATACCGTGTCGTTTGAAGTCTCTGTATTTGTGCCGTCCTCGACTTTTCTTTGAAAACTCAGTACCGAAGCTGCGGTAAAAGTTTTATATTGCCTTTCTTGGCGAGCGACTGCAATATAGAGGCTCTGCAGGGTAAACCCACTTCTCTACCCATAAATCAAACATCGAGAATCCAACAAAAGCATGAAACGTGCGGCTCTTAGCTATTATTTGACTTGGAGACATCGTGGGGTCGGAACTGAGGAAAGATTCGTTTTGTCCACACATATGCGAGGGATGTCGTTAAGGTAACGGCGTCATATTAAAGCACTACCCGTGGATTAAAGTAGAATAAGACCTGTGCTTTATTTTGTCTACTTTATGTGTCTTTCTCGGTAAAAAGGCCAAGGAGCGGGATATAAGTGCAGTAACATTACTCCTAAGAGGTACGTAAGTTAAACTTATAAAATGCAAGCATGGCTGACAATGAAAATAAAAAGGGAATTAAATCCGAAGTAAACATTAAAGACAAATTTTTACTATGTGTGTTGTGAGATTAAACATTTTGATGCATTTAAACATAATATATTGACAATCGATCGCGCTGTTCAAGTTTCATTAGGTGAGATATTTATTGGGTTGCATTTTTACGTTTACAGAGTTACTGTACAGTTAATGGTTTTTCATCTAATTCGCGAGTTTTTACAAGTACACCGATGTCAAAGGAAGAATTTCGATACAAGGATTATTTTTAAACAAGATTTATTCCTCGAAAGTTTTGCTCTCTACCCTTTTTTTCGCTCTTGACGTAAAAGCGCATGGGGAAACAAACCTAATGCATGCTTTTTAGCAAGAGACTTCGTCCTTCGGAAAGGTAATAAGGTAAAGTAAGTTTGCTAAAATTAATTGGCTACTGGAGAAGACATTATTTTGGCATCGTAGCAGAGACCAATTTTTTAAAATATTTCAAGCCTGTAAGGGTTGAAAAATTATATACACTTGTCCACACGCGTTGTATTTTGAGCAGAAGCAATTACATTTTATTTAATCATTTGGAGAACAGCTGACTACTGTAGTTATAAATTGTAATGAAATTTCATTTACATATCTTTGGGCAAATATATTTATGTAATAAATAAATTCTACGAAATTAATGAGCTGATTTTAATGTTGGTTTTTTCAAAATAATTTGGAATTTACGCAACTGACTAAAAGTGTTGAGCATATTTTGGATACTGATTAACTTTATGCAAAAAAATATAAGAAAGTACATTATTCGACGAAAGCATATCAAAAAATTTTTTTCTATTATGCCAGTCAATGTTAGATATATGTTTTTTAAGCAGCTGAAAAAAAATTTGAGCCTCTGCAATCTCATTGAGTCCAATTTTTAATACAACCTAGAAAAACGTACTATGCAAGCCTAATGAGCTTGTTATACTTCAGTGATGAAACTCTACACAATTTTATTTTTTCAAACCAATAACCGTTTATCCCATAATCAAATAAACCACGTAATCTTTTAGTGCAGTTTATCATGACTCAGCATTTTTAAGTACAAATTATCTGTTAAATCACATACTTCCAAAATTTTTAACTTTATTACACTCTCATGACCTTGCAATTATTAAGATTATCTAACTTGTTCAACAACAAAAAAGTCAATCAATGTGTTGTACTTGGATCTTTCTTATTCCAGCAAAAAAAATTATCTTAAACACACATCTTTAAATATTTCGTGAATAAGAATAATGCAATAGGAAGTAAATAATTGAAAGGCTAAGATTTTTTTGGAAACTTTAAGTGCATTATTTGTTGCGCTGTATGATAGTTATGTGGTTTAAAATTCCAAAATACGAAGATAAAAGTCATGGATTGAAGAAAATGATTGCAAAAGAAGAAAATTTTTAGAATATGAGGCATTTATATAGGATAACAAGCATTTGGATTAAATATTATGGTGACTTAATGTGTGTTGAGTCAAACGACCCTAACAGGCTATGGCCATAAATATTAGGATAAAATCAGCCACTAGCGATGAATGTTTGATAGTATTTAACAAAGCAATTTTTGGAAGGAATATTGTAAGTATTGAAAATTTAGGTCAAATATATTTGAGGCTTACGGTGAATCAAACTACGTGAAATAAATATGGAGTTCAAACCAAGCATTTAAATATCAAACTCATCTATCATTTCTACATAAATTATCAAAGTATTTCTAAAAATAATAAGTAAAAACCGATTGAGTTTCATGAAAGAACAGCTACATTCCATAAAAAATACTCAAGACCCGTAAAATGAAATTGACAAACGTTACGTGTAAAAGACGCTCAGAAAAATCCCCTTATCTTCTTTTAAAGGCTCGGCCACTTGGAAATTCGTTTAAGCTCTATTGGCCTCACTCTCGCGGAGTTACCACCAGAATAGCTTTTCACCATCTCACCTCGAGAACTTTGGCGAACTTCACGTTTTCAGGACCACTCGGCGCGAGAAACGAGCAGAGCTCCATGGGAGCCGTTTAAAATTATCAATGGCCCGCATAAGCTACTCGAGGGTGTAATCGATTGCACGAGTCATTGGTTCGCGCACTTGACCAACGAGTCGGTCGAACGCACCGATTGACACGGCTATACGTGGAAAATCATCGTTTAACTCAAGCCACTTTGATGCGTGTGCAGTCGATGGTATTGATTTTTTCCCCCTTTTTTGCTGTTATGTTGAAAGGGGTCTGCCTTGATATATACAATTTGATTTAAGAGTGTCATGAAACAAACATGAATTTATCTGTGTATTCTAGAATATGGTTAAATTCTTAAAGATTTTTAGTCACATGCTAATTCTTTCAAATTTATTGAATGCAACATGTAAAGTATATAAAACCATTATTCTAAGAAAAACAAATATATATATANCATATATAAATTAAATAACATAATAAAAATTACAGTTATACACACGAATTCATTCAATAAATGCATGTAGGGTATGTCGTGATAAGCACATTCATTCTATTCGGATATGCCACGTGAGACGAATAAAAATTCCTCTAATAACCTACAAACACAAATTATCACAGAAAGGACAATAAGTACTCATAGTTAAGAGAAAACGATTAAACTAATGCTCATTTAGCGTAATTTTTAATCTTGACAGCGTACCACGGTAAGAGGGATATGAGTTGTCATTGACAATCGTTCGTATTAAAAAATATCTTGAAAATTAATTTAAGCGTTTTGATACACGTACATAGGGCGAGAAGAGAATTAAGAAAGGATTTTATTAAAATCGTTTGTTTATGAGAAAAAATATTAGTGAAATCATAAACAACCAACTTGTACACCATTCAAGCCTTATGACTCTTCATCCTGTTGTACGTTAAGTTGAATATTTGCTAAACTTACTTTTGATATATCAAAAAACAAGATTTTTCAAATATTCCTACTATATTTTAGTCATAAAAAGCTGTTATTTTTGGCTTGAAATTTTTTTCCTCTCTAATCAAAGAATCTTTTACTTATAAAAAGAAGTTTTTGTATATAACTACAGACCCTGTATAAGAAACGCTCATGAATTATTTTGGTAACATTTCAGTCAATGTGTATCCACACGTTTTAAACCCACTACTTACAGTAACATTTCTCGCCGTGGTACCCGCAGTAGGGCTCGTCGACTGGCGGTGCTCCGTTGACCCAGGGAACGTCTCTCAGAATACGCAACGCCTGGAAAAATAAAAATACGCATTTCCTCGGACCTTTTTACAGTTTCCAAGATTTAGAACTGCAATTGTACAGCAATGGAATAAAAATTAAATTACGCGGAAGTCACTATTATTTTTAAAAGCTTTTCATCAATATCCAAAAATTGTTGCTGGGATACACTGCTTACCGGCAAGTTCGTGGAACTCTCCTTGCCGATAAAGCGCGCGATGGGGTAGAGGCCGTAGCCCTTCGGTGTCTGGTCATCCAGTGCTATCAAAGTGTAGTTGCCCTCCGGGTCACCATTCTCGTCCATGTACACCATGTACCTGTTACGCACATCGGTAATATAAACCGTGCAAAGACAAACCATTCATAAAAAACAGGCGATTTTCACGCTTTTGTATGTCCTACATAGTTGTATTTATTCTCAAGTTCATCGAAAAACCGTACGTATTATTTTACTTGTTGGATCGTATGACTAATATATGAGCTGTTAACGTTGTACAACGCAAACTAGGAACTGGTTATTATCAGAATCTAATATTAAGTAGTACAAATCCGATATGGTAAGACAAGTGATCGTACAATATAACTTGTCGTACCTCATACGAGGTGTCAAGTGGAGTTGTAAGAAAGATGTCATTCTAATAAAGTTGATTCTTTCATTCCTTAAATAAATTTCTCTCGTAAAATTTACACGAATGACAATTGTGCTAGCGGATTCGAAGAAAAAAGAAAAAAACTAGTCCGCGTGAACACGAAAAAAATGTAAAATTCAATTGAAAGAGGAGAAAAATACCTTACCCCATGGCGCTGCGATAGTGGAGGCCGTAAAGCGAAGATATGATCTCTTTACCATTTCGCAGGTCCTTGGCCTCGTCGAGCGTTCTGATGAGACTCTGGGCGTAAAGATGAATCGCGTCGTAGAGGTACGCGGTTTCAGGCACAGCCTGCCTTGTAGCGGAACAAAAACAAAAACCACCATCCCAGGAGGTGAGTCGAGTTCAATATCAAACTCGGATAGCCAATGTTATAGCTTTTATTTCCTTTATCAAATATTTTGGGTAAAAAAAAAAAAAAAAAAAAATAGCAAAAAAAGCTTGCCAAACGGGATGCAGTTTGCTATAGTCACCTGAATGAGACCCTCTTCTATGAAACTCCTCAGAGGATTTTTAAAATTGAACGGAGGCCGTTGCCTGTACTCGTTGACTTTGTTTGTAAAATTTATGTAGCCAACGGGTGCCGAAGCTATGACACTGAAGTAGCTCTGCAGAATTCGAAGCGTACGAGATCTTGAGTATTTTTTTAACAATCCGCGAATGTAGACGTCTGGCTCGCGGTCGATGTAGGTTTCGGTGTTGACGCCGACCACCCAGTATTCACCTGTTGCAGGAGTAATGGAGTTTGGTTTTTTTGATTGGAAATTATTTCATTGGAGTCTAAATCAACATTTTTTTTTCATGACTATACGGAAAGAATGGTGGAAAAAAAGAATGTGTATTACCACTCGTTAAAAGGTGTCTTCTGTCCAACGCCATTAGTAAGCCAATGTGCTCCTCTATGTTTCCGAGTATAACGTAGACTGTAACCATAAGTGCATTATTTGATAATCGTGATATCGAACTTACCTCAAGAAATCTTATTTTTTTAATTTTTAATCCATATAAATTTTTTGTAATCAATACAATTTGATCTCCTACACTATAACTTGATTATAAAGAATATAATTATGTATCATGTGTATGTATGCATGAGTGTATGTATGAGCTTAGGTGGTTACTACCTGATTTCTCGATATCATTATTTTTTCCGACAAACCATACACACGAAAAATTCTCCTGACGGCATTTGTCCTGGACTAACTGTCCCGAAAAATATTTTCTCGAATATCCGAGTATCCCAAACAAAATTTTACGGACACCTGTATCCTTTTTTAAATATTTTATTGTACTGTGTATGTCCATAGTTTGTAATTGCTTATCCTTTAAATCATCTTTGTACATCATTGATTTAAGTTGTTCATTTTGAAATTAATCTAGCTGATTTTTTACGTAATGGCTATAGTTATTGATTAAAATTATTATTAAGGAGGTTTGGGAGAAAAGTTCAAAATGTAGAATCGTAGATTAGGGCACGTTATAAATGTGTTAGATTAAAAAAAAAAAAACACTTTTATGGATACTTTAGTACAAAAGGAAGTGGCACATGTGCGTGGGCAGGGGGGACTCTTTAACCATTGCTCGAATTTAAGCTCCTTTAAGTGCTATTAATTACTGTGCAAACTGATTCATCCAGAATTAAGTAATAATAAAAATAACACAATCTTTGTTAAAATCTCTTTCAGCCATTTTGAGTGTACTACCATTCAAGTAAAACGTTTGGTGGTGCTATAGTTGCAGTATACAGGACACGATGAAAATAATTAACACTGATAGAGAATCCATACACTTGGGACTGGATCATGAAACCAGTGATTAATTTTGATTAAATTTGCTGGTTGATTTTTTTTTTTTTTTTAACTACCCATTCTTGAACAAATTTTTAATTAATAGTTTTTAATTTTTAACACTCATTTTTTTTGAAATTAAAGAAAATACATTACAGATCACGATAACATTTTACAGATTAGATAAAAAATTTACTTTTATAATCATGGTGTAGTTAACTTGTTGAAGTAGCACAAAGTTTTCAAATCAATAACATCATCATGTAATAGAAACATTACAGAAATAACAAGGTTTATAGTTTTAACGAAAAGCTTTCGTTCAACATCACATCAGGCACAGTAGTTTCTAAAAACGCCCAACAAAGGGTTACTCGTGAAACTATGGCTATATTATACACAGTAGAAAAGTATGTTTATGCAATTATGCCAAACGTTGTACGGAATCCCTCGCTCATGCGGGCTTACGTGAACCCTCTCTGGCACTGTCACGCTTACACAAGCCTTTCGGAATTTACATGATTTCGATGCGGGCTTATTTACGCATTTCCATCGAGGGGCCGTTTTATATGCTTGTTTTGCCAACCGAATTAATCTGCCAATAAATTTATTCATCCATTTATTCGTTGTTGACTCATTGTTTGACATTATCTCAATAGACAGTTATTGCACTGTAACTAATTTCTCATTAGAGGATATAGGACCTTTTCCATAATATATCATTAAATAAACGTACTTATGTATCTTGACACAACATAAAAAAATAACAAATAGAAGTGTAATTCTACCCACTGTTAATAGTGTATACCTTAATAATAACAATTCAAAACACTTGATGCTACGATAAACAAATATACTCACTCCTGGTATCGGCAAAGGTTTCATCGACGAGCTTGTGGAACGGATTGTTCAGGTTTTCGACGACGCGATATGACTCCTCCCAGCACTTGACGCTGTTGACGCGTACACCAACCGCTCGGAAGGAAGACAGGATGGTTCGAGCTACCGTGGGCATCACGTGATTGTCGAAGCGAGACGCGTTCATGAACATGAACGACACCTGTGGGGGGTTTGGGAAAAATAGAGAGATTCAGAGAGGGCGGATTGTCAGTCAAACCTGAAATTTTTTTTTTTTTTTTTTTTTTTTGGTAAGAATTTCAATGTAGAGCTGCGTACAGGTTGTGTGTGTTTTTCTTTTAAATTTAATGAATTCCTTACTATCATGAGCTTCTCTGGAAATAGAAAATGCTTTCTCTCTCTATATCTCTGTGCTAATTCGATAAACTATTGAATAAAGTGATAGCCGTATGGCGTTTAATATAAGCCAAGGTAGAGTGTAGCTAAAATTTACGCAAACCCATACGCACACACACACAGACATCCGCAGGTGGCTTCTTCCTCTTTATTGTTTAATTTCGTATGGTTGGTATAGGACAGGAGGAGCGTACATTCGAGGTCCGATGTTAACTTCCAAGATTTGCGCGTACGAAATTGCTGAGTGTTTCAAAACCGCAAAACTTCAACAAAGTTTGCTCGACACGTGCATGGATGGAGAAAGTTTACGAGTGTTCGTTCAACATATAAATGTTGGGTGCAGCTAACAGCGTTAGATATTTGAACACTTTACCGTGATTCATTGAATACTCGATTGCCTGAGTACATGGAGATAGTAATTTCTGTGATTTTATAGGCTTTCGTAATTAAATTTAATTTAGAAATGCTTGGTTTATAATCGTTGAATGAAGTAATAAGTCATGATATGACTTTTTTTTTTTAATGACAAAAATATCGCTACCAATCCGCAGACATGAAGCTTTCCTTATTTGATTGTTATTGGGGGTGTTGTACTAAAATCAGTTTTTTAACAACAAAAAAAGTGTATTTTATACTGTATTTCTCTGTAAGACAAGATCATTTCCACTAATAAAGTTAAAAACACTATTTTTTGAAAATTGAAACATAGAGAAAGTAAACCATGGCGAGGATACAAAACTTTAAAAATTTACCAAAATAATAATAAATTATACGACACTGTTTTTATTAACGTGACAAGACATATTATTCACACAATGTATGCCAGAAATTCGTATCCATATCAACATTTGATATAGATGTACGTTTCTGTAGACCAAAGAAAGAGTCTTTGTCGATTTGACATTATTCGGGTTCTTTTTGTCCAGACTGCGTTTTTCCAGGCCAAAGGGAGTAAAACCCGGTTCGTGTGTGTACGTGTATTTTGGTGTGTCACAATATATCGACGAAAGGAGTGATAAATTCGCGTCCCCTTCGGCTTACCTTTGTCCAATTGAAAGCCTTGAGTACAGCAATAACAGACTTGGAGATTTGTGTGTCCGGAGGTCGCGTACGGGCGAACGTAGGGAATTCCTTTTTATTCGACGTCTCTCGATTCGTGCAGTACTGAAACGCAATACGTCAGCTTTTTTTTCCAACCATTGAAACGTTCGATGCTTACATGTAAAAAATTATGCTAAAAAACTAGTTTTAAGACAACTCGTTCATGTTGATTGTCAAATGCATATTTTTTTTTTCTTTCTTTTGAGTTCCAGAAGGTTTTTAGTCTATTTTCTCGGTTGGGATGAATAAATAAAAAACTGAAAGACATATTTGTAAATTTAAAATTCCAGCGTTCAATTCCTAAGTTTCTCATTCCTCAGAGATTATTGAAAAATTGACTTAGCTCACAACACTTTGTATAATGTTACAACAATTTTTTTCCCATGCTGTGAAAAACATCACGTAAACCCCATGATTTTTCAACGAGAACCCCCGTTATTAACGAGTCAAAGCTCGCTCAATTGGGATGTGACGCGTAGTGGCGGACGAAGAAAAGTGGAAGTTCATCCGCGGTGACAGCGACTCGCGAAAAAATGTGTACATGGTACGGGTGTACGCATACTCGCGTAGTCTAGAGGGTAATGCCGCCGCGTCGTGCCGGAATGCGAGTGCGCTCCGTCGCTTCGGGTACAATGAAAAAAATGCCGCAGCCAGTGCGAATTATTAAGACTCCACCCGCATAATATATACTCTCGGAATACAGTAGTGGAGTTCCAGCCGCGGTGAATTTAATATGTTCGTCCGTATGTTGGAAAGCTCTCCGCGTGCACGTGTTTCGTAATCTGATGGCAGCGCCCGGCATGCGGTATCAACGCCCTACTCGGGCAACGAGTACACGTGTATTCGACTTTTAAACGTACGTAGATGCACTTTAAACAAATGTATGATACATCATTACTTTTTCAGACACCACCAATAAACCCTCAGATGTTGACTTTACGAACATTTTACACACGATGTCAAAGTAGAAATCTCATGAACTTTTTTTCTTGACAATCATAGACGTGCTTTTGTTTAAACTTAACCCGTGCAATGAAAAAAAGTTATTCGAATCCTGTAGTTTTTCCAGAACTCCCTTATCGTAAGGCGAAACCACATCCCAAGAACAGTTTTAAGGAAAATTAAAGATTCACAAAAAAACTCGATTACGTAGGATATCATGGGCAGATTAAAGGCAGCGGCCATGCGACCCTCGTGTACGCAAGTCTCCTGAGGGCCAATATACGCACTGACGTTCCTCGTCCATAGATCGGCTGTCATTAGGATGCTGCGCTCCTCGTCGCCGTACGTCTCAGCTACGATGAAGTCTAGTTTGTGGCCTCGTTTACCCAGCTCGCCGGCGTTTACCTGTTGTTTTTTTCATACAAATTTTGGAATAAAAAAATAAATAAAAAAAGGTACCATTAAGTGATTCTTATGAAAAAGGTTTTCGTTAGGATGGTAATTTGGGGAAAGGTAACCATAACAATACGGTGGGGGGATCGGACTGCCTATGATCTGAAGTTTTTGTTTATTTAATTTAGCGAAACTAGTTTTTGGGCTTATAAAATAAAACGTATGAATGTGGTACCTCATCAATGGCAAGAGTTATGGCGCCAGATATTTGGAGGCCAGGACGAGAGTACTCCCAGTCGCCTGGACGCCTTTTCGAGCCAGTTATGTAGCCAAGGGTGAAATGCTCCCCTTTGACTACGCCGTCCAGTAGTACGTGCATTAGCAAAGTAGTCACAAGAAAGTAGGCGTAATCCGAGTTTACCACTGTCATCTCTGATCCGTCTTGGTTCCCAATTGATCTTGGGGTTGAATCAATCTTTGCGCTTGGTTGAACCTTTTAATCGGCAATTAAATTTTTTCGTGTTAAAAAATTATTTTTGCTTTTATCTTGATGCATTCATTGCCCGTAAAAAAGTGAGTTTTTTTGGTTTTTATATATTTACGTGCAAAAGTTCGTCTTCAACGTTAATCAAACATATAAGTAAAGTATCTATTGAGTAAATTTATTTTCTTTTCTATATAAAACTGTCAAACTGTCATTTCCGTTTCCGATGATTTTTTCACTAAGAAGATACATGAACAATAAAAAAAAAAAATGATACAATTGAACAACTAGAGTCATCTTAGTTGAGTCGATCTTTATATATTTCAAGAAGAAAGTTAGACATACGATAACTTTTGATCTTGACGTTATTTTTGATTCAAATGGAAAAATCTGGTTACAAGGCACAACCATGTTTGTCAAATATTACTCAGACCATTATAGTCAGAATGGTACAACAAAGCGTCTTTTCGCTAAATGATTTAATTTGCACTATAGACGCTGTTATTGCATGTGGAGTTTACGGTATAAACTTTATTGTAAATATCAATTATTATAAAATTTTAATAGATATTAGGTCAGTTATATAAAAGTTGACTGTAGCTATATCTTATATAATGGGTTAAAATCATAAATCGTATGTGTATGTATGTGCTTTTCATGCAGCAATAATCTAACTTAAACAAAGTGCTTTCATGTATAACTATTTTGGTATATGTTAACTGGAAAATTGTCAAAGTTCTACCATCAGTGAACTTTAAAAACCAGGGGACTCGAGTTGAAGTGGCTGTAGCAATGTTATCATGAACCTTTGAAAGCAAGAGCTTGCAATAACTATTGTTTATTTAATTTTTATGTGTAGAATGGGTTAAATACAATTAAAAATACAACGTAAGGTAATTCAAGATTTCAGTACTGTGTATTTTACTTAAAGTTATTTATTTTTAAAGTGATATAAAAATTTTGCGGTCTTTTGCAGTTTTCGAGAGAAACACGGGATCGATTGAATTCAACTGAGGCTTACATTTTTTTACCTGAAACTATTTTTTAGGTATGACTGCACTTCACAGAGGTGCAGTATATTTTTACGATAGTCTAAAGGAAAAAATGTGTTCTAATGGACATGGTGGCAGTGGCATTGATAAGAGTAACTCTGAAACTATTTAGAATTTGAATTACCTTGTGCTTTTGATATTGAAATGTATCAGGCATGAGATGGTATGCAAAAAGTATTATGTTATAAAAAAGTATTGCTTGGATTGCGCGACTTCGATCTAATTAATTTGAAAAGATGATTGCAGAAGTGATGTCACAACGTCAAACCTTGGGTGACAATAATTCACTCAAGTATCTACAGTAAAACAAATAAGCACACAGTTCAGTCCATATTTGGGAATACACTCGTCATTATATTTGCTTTAGGTATTTAAATAGGATTGGACGGGACTAACAAGGAAAAAATAATACTCCGTTGTCACATCAAGGTATCGTCGAAGCAAGGAACATGAAATACCTTTTAAAAGTAAATCCGGAGAACAAAGTCAACGCTTCGAGGAAATACAATAAGTATTACTTGTATAACAGATCAATTGCGTGAGAATTATAGGACTTTATAAAAGACTATACCTGGATTGTATGATAAGATTGGGACTCTTTTGGTGTTCGCAGTCCTATTATTGCCACGTAATGCACAGCTTGAAATAATTAGCACATGTGATTGACTTAACAATCGATTATAACAATAAAAATGTCATTATGGTATATAGAATATATTTTTAACTCACGCTCCTCATTTCATCATATTTCTGTATTTATATCATAGGTCTACGCTCTGCGGTCAAAGCTATCCAGCTTAAGGCCGTTCCAATTCCGATAAACTCGTATACCTTCGAAGATAATCAAAACACGATATACTGATCTATCGACTATCGTAAGAAAATATACTTACTTCCACATCCTCTTAAATGTTGAAGACAAGCAAGTTCACGTAGCTTATACTTGGCTCGAGAAACAATCATTATGTTTTAGTCGAAAGATGAGAATTAGATCGTACTTTAGCCACCCCTTATCGTACATTGTTTACGACCACTGATAATTATTACATAATATTATTTCGTTGGCAAGGTATCAATAGCTTTATGCTTAACGCTATGTATTATTACTTGCAGATGTATCTCAGCTACACTTCATCTCGTACGTCCTCATTGAATGTTGACCTACCATACAATTATGTTTGTCTAATAATTATCTAGTCTGTAGAAATTTTCAGTCATTTGATTGGAAATCTCGGTTGTGATCACAATAAAAAAAATTGAAATTCTGTCTAAAAATAATCATTGTAGGTACATCTTATTTTCAATGAATAAAAGTAAGTATGAGGTTAAAAATAAAAATAACTTATTCAACAACTAAGATCTTTTTTGTAATAATTTATTTGGATAACAATTTTATAACACAAAAATGATGTTTCTTATAAATTCGTCTTCTCAATTGCAATAGATACCACTACAACGTTTATGAATGATTAAAACTAAAATTTAATTCTAATTCTCGGTTTCCAGCCATTGCTTACTCACTCACAGTCACAAGATCTGACTATGGTTTATCGTAATAATGTTTCTTAATTTACACAAAAATACTTATGACAAATGCAACAATAAATTTATTTGCTTCATCATTGGACACCTAAGGTCGATGGTCCTGTTTCTCTTTTTCTTTTATTGTTCACGCAAGATATATTTTCAACTCAGATTGTTAACACGCCTTTGTAACACTTCTACTTGCATAATAACAATAACTTATATTCATCTTCAACATCAGAGTATACAATATAATTGACTCATGAACAGTATTTATACAATGTTAAAAATATTAATCACCTAAATTCTTACACTTTTGCCGCAGATTAATTTTTTACTGTAAGTATTTAATCATATTTGTTGTGAACCGCTCGCACGCCAGAGTTTTGAAACAGCAGCTACAAGTTACAAATGTAATTAGAGATAGAAATATAAGATATATTATATCACACATAGTTTAAGTGACATCAAGTTCAATGTAGCTAAGAAATAAGATTAATATGTTTTGAAAAAAATGGTCCTTACGCTGATTGAAACACTTATTTTCGAAATTCATGAAATATGATTTTAAATCATAGAACTACTAAAAAAAGCTTATGAATATTGCAGTAATATGCATGTGATAAAATATTTTTCACTATAGTGCCTGATGCATTAATTGTGCCTTGTATGCAAAACCATAGTATTGAGTTACTTGTAAAATATGAAAAATTATATGACAGAACATATTACTGTCAGTTGTTTGATGGATTAATAAAAATGAAATCTTTTGTGAAAACGAATATTTATCAAAGGTAGTTATGTCAGAGTCGTAAACCAAAATATTTTTTCCTTTTCATTGACATTTTTTCACTAAATAGGTAACAAATGTGCATGAATTTAAAGTTAAAAACCTGCTGGGTTTATCTATCAGGCTACGTGGAGGGATTCACGAAATAATTTTTGTTAAAACTACTGTTACGTCTGATCCAAAAAAATGTATGATTTATTCTTCTCACATTCTTTTTTCCCAAACTTCCATTTTATAGAAACTTTTCTAAAATTTTCCAGTTACTCGCAAGTTACCTACTCAATTACCCTCTCAAAAAGCAGTTATTTTTTAATGCATTTTTGTAATTTTACCCTTAGGATATGACTTGTTGCATGTGAGATGTCTACCTACACCTAAAGGAAATGAACGTCATTGTATGAAAACACCGACTGTTATCGAAATGAGCGCATACTGTAAATAAATAACCAATCCACTTGTCTTCATCACTTTTAACAATTTCTACTAAAATGAGTACGTCAAAAACAGTTATTATTAAATCCTTCTAAGGACTCTTGCCAGTAAAATAATTAATAAAATCGAATTATATGTAAGTTAATTATTTTATAACAAGAAACAATGTATGCTTTTGTTACAAGAAACGATGGAATGCGATGATAAAAAGTGAATATGATGGTAGATAACAATAAAAGGGCTCTCAAAAGAATGTCTTACGTGAACAGATGTAAAGGTAAATATTATAAATTTAACAGTGAAAATATGTAATGTATGATGACAATGTATTGAATAAAGAGAAAGTGTACATACTATTTGAGAATACATAATGTTTATGTGTAACACCAGCATATTAAGATACTTTCATCGTAAATAATCGTTACTTTTAAAAAGTTTTATTATTTAACCTTCAGTAAGAACTGGACGTTCTGTAGTTAAAATTATCCACATTCGTTTTGTTAAGAAAATTATGTGTAGTCATGGGGATATATCAAACAATTTACAAAAGATCTTTTGCATCAGCATCATGGAAAAATTAACTAAAACGAAGTGAGTAAAGTAATTTGAACGATGTCATCACAACACAGTATATTACCATGGTTATGTGCTTTCCAAGTGCAATAAGATTGCAAGAAATTTGTCACAGGAAAATAGTTGTAAACCTAGTTACTCATAAAGAAACAACAATATAGGCCATACATGCGTAACAGAGGTAACGCTATACAGAGACCATAATCAATAACCTCTTTGCTTACCTAGCGGCATGAAATAAACTTTAAATAAATTGGATACGAGTGAAGTATAGTGAAGTATACTTACCTACAGTAAGACTCATTGATATTTGATCGAACTATAGATATGCTTTCCAAGTTAAACGGGACTGCCATAAGTCTACCCTGTAGAAGTAAGTAGTAAAATTAGAATTTAAATGGAAGTTAGTTAATTTGACTGAGACCTTCAAAACGTTTATCAGTTGCATAGAATGATAGATTATGTAACATAAAAAATTATAACGGGTAAAAGTGGCGTGTAGAGCATCGTGGCTCCTGATGCCTTCGTAAATCTACTTACCACCGAGGGGCTGCCCACTATAATACTCCCAAAAT